TATATACTTCCTTACTGCTCTTGTCCACTTCCTTTTTTTGCCCATATCTCTTTTGTGATATTTCTGTTTTCAGAAAAAGTGCATTTAGAAAAATGTAAGCTCTACTTTTCTAGGGTACATCTATAATCTGCATATATATAGTTTCAAGTATCAAACCTGTTAATTCATCCTATTATCCATTTCTCTGCCTTTGTGTTATACCCTTCAGTCATATTCAAAATTCTCAGACTTCTCTCCTACAATATCTTACCACGTTCTCAAACCCAGTCTCTTCAACACACTGCTATAAATCTCCCTCCTTAAGTCCCCTCAGTAAAATCACTTCTGTCACTCTTGATAATTCTATTGTCCAATGTCCAACACTCAAACTCAAACTCTTCACTCTGCTTATCCTAATACCCAGTTTCACTACAGAACCTCTTGGGGGGGGGGGGGGTTTAATTCACTCCAAGATCGGGAAGAAATGGTAAGGGTTTGATAGTGATTCCATGCTAGGTATTACTTGGCTCAAGCACCTCAAACGAAAGCCAAGCTAAATATGGTAACTGAACAGATATGAAAAGGGAAAAAAAACACAAAGTAATATATCACTTTCTGTTACCATTTACAATGAATCATTTTTCTTGGCATATTCAAAACACAGATGTTAAGCCAGGCCAGAGGAACTTGGTTTGAGCTGGGTGGAGGATTTCATTGGCTTCCCACATCTAACAGAATGTTGATATAGATGTGACCCTGGGTCTTTCTCTCCTTCTCAGTTAATATTTCACCTTATACACTCAGGGAATTAACTTATTGCATGCTACATAGCACTTTTGAACAATGAAAATGAATGGCTCAATAAAAAGGCTCCCGTAGCTATTGTAAATGTTGCAGGATTTTGCCTGCTGTATTGTAATGGGAGTTTTTGAGAGTGAAATAATTCAGAGCTCTCTAAATTACATGGTGATGGAGCACTGTCCAGAGTCACTCAAGTTTTCCCCACTATTGAACAACAGTTATTGAACTAGAAATCAAATATATGGCGACATTGTAAAATCTTCCAGGAATATACTGGATTTTATAACAACAAAAGGTTAATAATCAATTCTAGTTTGAAAAGAGGATCTTTGACAGATGGAATGCAGGGTTTTTTTGGTTTTTTTTCTAGGTATTTGCGGTTCTGTTTCTTTTATTTGTTTCCTGTAAGTCCTGCTCACAAATCAAGGGGAATTTTTAAAAAACTTAATCAGACTGATATCTTTTTTTATTATTTTTTTGTCTTGGAAAGTTTCTAAAATCATAAGCCAGAAGAAATCCAAGTTTGCAATCTTTTCTCCTTTTTCACACCTTCCCTCATGAAGTTTTCCTGAAACCAAGATTATTTTGAATTTTTAAAATACCCCCCCCCAATTATTCCATACATGGAAAAATAATACATTTGTTATAGTTTTCCATGTATAGAATCTAATTAGTGGAAGGTCATCTTAAATTTGTCCCCCTCCATTGCTGTGGTGGGGAAAGCAGTAATAATGGATGAGGGGCCAGACTCCTGCCCCTTGTCTCCCTATGCCTGCCCTCCTGCTGCCTGTCCCCACCATGCGCCCCCTGCCACCTGCCTCTCTGTGTTTGTGCCGGCCCCATGCTCTCCACCCCTTGTCCCTCATGCTTATGCCTGCCCCCACTCCATGCCTTCCCACCTCCTATCCCCTGTAGTTTGTCCCCCCACCCTTGTTCCTCCTTGCAGGCTGCCTTCCTCACACCCTGCCCCTCCATGCCTACACCTGACCCCTGCCACCTGGCTCCTTGTGCCTGCTGCCCTCACTCCCTGTGCCCCTCTTACATTCTGCTACAGGTCTGCACCTCTGGTACAGCCAGCAGCAGTGTGAGCCTGGCCCAGCCCCAGTCCAGCCACAGAGGCAACTTCTGCCTGGGTCATGACTGCAGGGACCAGAGCAGAAGGTATAGAGGTAGTTAAAAGGGGGGGCGGGCAGGCTGCAAGGGGAGCAGGAGGTGGAGGAGGCAGGGAGCTGGGGGGAGGCAGACACGGGCATGGGTGGCAAAGAGTAGGGGGAAAGCTGTAGGTTCCCCCCCTCCATCTTCCCCCCAGTCTCCCCCATGCTTCCCATAGCCACATGTCCCCTACCTCATCAAACAAGATATTCCAGCTGGAGAAGACAGCAGCTGAGTTCTGGCTTAATCCCTAAGTCCAGGGCCAAAGCTGGAGCTCAGCTGCAGCCTGCCAGAGGTCAGTACTCAAATCCAAGACAAGGCTTTTATTCTCCATGCTGACTGGGGGGGGGAACCTTGTCTTGGATTTGAGTAAATATGGTAGTAGACTCCTAAGCTTAGGATTTCACTGTGAAATAACTAATTCTTCCCAGCTAATTTCCCTGTGTCTCTATTACCCAATAACCACCTCCTCAATTAAACATTCTGCAAAGCCTCAGACCTTGTGCCATATATCTACCACTATCACTCAAGGAAACTTGTTTAATGCTAGAACATATGCCAAACCTCCAGGACATTTATTTGTGACAAAGAAAAAACAGTATCTTATAAGGTACAGAACACTTGAACCTACAGGCAGAAGGGAAAATGTGTATGGTACAAGATAAATTATAGCTTTAAAACAAATCCAGTAGGAAGCCTTAGCTCATCCAAACCATATTTAAAGTAGAAATCAAAACTGCAGGAGAATTACTTAGAATGGACCATTAAGAGATCTATGAGGTGTCAGGATGAATGGAAAATACAATAAAAAGCAAGTTAGTTTATATACACACAGGAGAATATCAAACTTTTCAGAATGGCTGGTTTTCCCCTCAGGAAGGAAGAGACTATTGAAAACCATCAGTGAGAAATAGTTCCTTATTCCCTCATGTACCGTTTTGAAGTTCATATGCATCTTTATAGCAAGCTTTCTTACTGATGCAGTTAACAACCTGTGCTCTGTTCCTCTGAGCTAGAAATCCAGCTAGTTTTCTAAGCATGCAAGAACTACATAAAAATTGGCTAGACCTTTAAAAAAAAGAGATTTATATTTTGAATTTCTACTTTGCAGGTACTAGCTATATGCTGAAGCTGTGAGACAAGACCTTAAACCAGAGGTCTCCAGAGATACAAAGCACTTCACATGCTGCCTGGGTAACTCAGTGCTTTAATAATGGAACATGGAACATTTTCTATTAGACTGCCAGGAAGAAGCCAGATCCGGTTGACAGCACAAAGAAATCTACTGGTGGCCCAAATGAAAAATATCAGGTAGTGATATTGTGGTGGTGACCATGTCCCAAAATGACCATCACAGCTGGTACAGAAGCCAAAGGACCAAACTCCCTTTTGAACCTGAGAGGTATCCTGTAATGATCAGAGCTAGGTCACAGTGGCCAGGAAGTATGTTAGAATCCATACTATTTCTCACTGTGCTTTGACTGTTCCTAGAATGATGAGAGGGCTTTATCGCTGAAATTAAGGAGTGCTGCCAGTTTGGCACATTTCATTTAAAATTAAAGGCATTGGCTTATATCTACTCAATCAGCCTTTTGGTAAGATAAATGAGCACATAAGGAAATGTCATAGGCAAGAAGCATTCAGATGGCAAGAAAAAGACAGGTTATTCAAAGTCATTTACTAGTTTTATACAAGCTAGATCAGGTTTAGAGTGGATACAATTTATATAGGTGATTAAAAATAGACTTTTTAGTTTGAAAATAAGCAAGGTACACTTGGTAACCATAACAGATGGAGTTCATATTACTCTTAATGATGATGACACAAAGCATACTTCTGTATTTTCTAGACTTATTTAGCAAGCTTTTAAAGTTTGTGCAAGCTAAAAATACAGGTTCACATTCAAATCTTGACTCTTCAGCCTTGAAACACAGTTCTTGCTGAATGGCTCATCTCCAAATTAAAGAAGCACTTCTTTCAAACGTTTTTCAAACCTAAGTTAGAAGTCCTATTCCATAACTTGCTGGCCACCTGTTCCACAATGAACTGGCTTTTAAGACCTTAGGTCTCAGTAAATTTAAGATTAGTCTCTATTTCAGATATTAAACATCCAGTCAATAATGGATATTTGATTAGGTGGTTTGATATGCTTTATCTATATCTTATCATTCATATCCTAATTGTATTTCAAAATTAAAATTTCAAATAACATTAAGTTAATTATCTTGAGTGTTTGATTTTGATGGGGGAGATTTCCAAAACCTTCCTTTATTCCCAGAACACCTTCGAAGGTCAACCTCCATCCCCACTTTTACACTTTCCCTTAGACAGCTCTGAGTCTCATTGAGAGAGCAAACCAGTTCAGAGTTAGCTCAGGGTTGTAGAAATCCCAGCCATTACCAGGCTGTGTTGTTTGTCACATTCTACTTGTTTCAAAGTAGTACAGGAAAAGCCCACTTGATGGTTGCAAGTGTTCACGTGTGGATTAAATCATTAACAATATGTGTGGCCATTACATTTAGGTTAACCTAACTAGGGCCTGGTTGATTCTCAGTGATGATCTCTGTAGACAGCTGGGGAAGTTAAATCAAGCAAAAAGTGGCTGGCCTGAGCTAAATTAGCTTACCTGAGGTGGTGAACTAAGTTAGATAGGTAACAGGTTAGCTCAATCCACTGAACATCTGCACATGTCCAGACCACAGCCCTGCAGCCACCTACTTCAACTGTGCTTTTCCTCACCCCCTGACCAAGCTATTTTTAGTCCCCTTACCATACCCCCCCATCCCCAAACAAACAACTCCCAATCCCCCCACACCACACCACCCCCGCTGACCTGCCAGCCTCTCCCCAATCCTGCCAAACCTCTACCGGACCTGCCAAACCCCCTGCAGACCTTCCAGCCCTGCTGATCCCACCCCATCCCCCACCTGAGTTACTTAGATTGGCTCCTGGTGTGGCTCCTGGCACCTGTGACCATATGCAAAAGACACTTGTGATCTACTATCACACTGCTTGTTTTAAGCCACATGATCATAGATGGAGTGCAACAGATGTCTGCACATACCCATAAAGTTCCCATTTGTAAATACCATTTGCTGCTTTGCTTCCTCACTTACCACTCATGACATTAAAACTCATCACATCCATTTTGTTTCCTCCAGTAGCTACACAGCGGTAAATCCCATAGTCAGAAGCTGTAAAGTTTTTAATGATAAGCGTGTTGTTCACATGAGGAGTGCAGTCTATCAGTGTACGCTGCTGGAAATCTGAACCGAAGGTTTTCTTTCCTGACCAGGAACAAAGGACAATGGTATCTATCCGATCTCTTTGAATCCTTTCCCACTTAACTTGCTGAACCGAACCTCCAAGGTTATAAAGACACATTAAGAGGAGATTTCCCCCTAGTCCAGTAACCACAGGATGAGGTTGTGGCATAGATGCATCAAAAACATCTGTAAAGAAGATAAAAAAGATTACTTATAATTGAGAAGTTTAACAATCATTTCCAAGAAGTTGCACTGTCCACTGGTGAGATAAATTAAATGGTTTACAGGAAAAGGGTGTCAGGAGGCATCTTTTAAAAATGTAACACAGGACTGAGCAACTTCTTAGCAGCTGGGGGCCACGCACCATGGGGACCACACCAGTAGGAATCATGACTCCCTCCTCCCACCAGCTCAGCTGCAAGCTCCTCCAGCACCACATAGGTAGGTGATCCCCACATTGCTGTATTGCATGGATGGACAAGAGCCCCCTACCCTGGGCTGTGGGCTCCCCTGGCACTACAGGCTGCAATGCACTGAGCCACTCTGCCCTGCCCTGCCCCACACCCTGGGGAGAGAAGGGAGTGACAGCCTGGAGACTTGGGCTGCAACAGTACCCAGAGTGATGAGAAAAACCCAGGAGAAAAGCTCTAACCCCTCATGGGCAGCACATGGCCCACAGGCCAACTGGACAGCCCTAATTTAACATATTGAAAGAGAAAATGCAAATACATATACAAACATACACAACACTTGATCTTACTATGGTGCTGTGAGCTGGGTGAGGTTTTGTGTGCTACCCACTTCCTCATACTTCAACAAAACCTAAAAAACCCAGCAACTTTATAGTTAAGGTCAAGGTGGCTCTTGGCTTCTAAAACTGTTTTCAGTACAGTAGTAATTTTATAAGATTAATAAAAAACTGACTATTTTGACCTCTTGGCACATTTGCTACAAAACCTCATTCCCCTATGAATTTCCAGGTCTTCATTCATAAGTTGTATCACAGAGCCTGCCTTTAATAACAAAAATTCTCCTGACCACAACTCTAACAAGCCAAAACAAAGATCAAAGATCCCTGTGATACCACCCACTCAAGAAAACCTGAAAAATAGCTAGAGAATTGATTGTGCAATGGAAACAGAAGTACAAAGTTAATGTAGCAATGTTGCTTTACTCAGAATTTCCAGACCTGTCACTTAAAATTTCACAGTAGACATGCATAAATGCTGTTATCTTTTAGGTATAATAAGTATTAAGATAGGAAGAAAATGAAAACAATATCAAAATGCATTAAAAACAAAAAAGAAGGCAGCATTGAAATTCCTTGTAGCACATAGCAAATTGAGCATGTCATCACAAATATTTCTAAGCACACCAGTGACAGTTTATTTTGAACTTCTTTTACATTTTTCCCTTTATTTCCATAATAGATCTCTGCTTTATACTGCAGCACATTGTACTCTTTGTAGTCACTTATGTAGGCATGAACTGTTACCACTTGGGCGCATCTATATGTCGTGGTACAACAACATTGCTACGGCACTGTGCTTTAGTACTTCCTTTTTGAAGTACTAAAGCATGGTGCAGTATGGGTGGTTACTGCGCCATCCACATGGTGCATGGGTAGATTTTGCCACTACATCGCTGTAGCAATGGGCTTTACCCGGGGAGTGTGCTGCTATGGCAGTATAGCTGGCAAACACATGTAGACACATGATCACTACATCGCTGTAGTGCACCATATGCTGACATATCATATCACTATATTGCCATAGGGTAACATGTCACTGGAATCAGACTCAAACTAAATCTTTTTGTGCATGGAAACCAGCTCTGTTAAGTCCTAAAAGATTTTATGAAATGAAACAAAGAAATCATACGTATAGTTGCTAAATAAATGCACAATTAATTGCTAGTAAAAGTCCACGACTTAGTGTTCTAACTAGACAATTATGCAACTCCACAAACCTAAAATCAGTAACCAGCAGTAGCCCAGTGTTTGTAAAAAGCTCATAAAGAAAATGTATGTTGCATAAAAACATGAAATAGAAGCCTTCCTATTTTATCATTAAAATATTTCCTTGATGATGATAAATGAAGAGGTTATGGGTTCTCTGTCTGTGTGTCTTTATCAAGCTGCCAACTTCATTTTGGATGTGTAGGCCTTTACCCTCTTGGTTGTCCCTTTACCTACAGGTTAAAGGGACACAGACTGAATAAGAGAACATAATAAAAAGGAGATGGACTTTTCTTCAAATATACACATCCTAAATAAGTTAGATCCAACCAAGAGAAACAGGATATTCAAGAAGTCACCTTAGTCCTGAAAAGATTGACGAGGGAGTCACTAGAGGGAGACTGAGAAGTAATAAAAGGACAAAAGTTGAAACATTTGCTGTTAGTCATTTTTACCAGTGAAACTAAAGAAAAGCTGCCTGTGCCAGGAGACTACTGAGACAGGAAGAAATGCTGCTTCCCTGAAGTCAGACAAACCTCCAAAGAAATGGCAAGCTAGAGAAGAGCACCATATTCAGTATGCTGATTTTTTTTCTAACAACCTGCATTCTTTTATGCTTTAACCTTAAGTTAAAGCACAAGTAAAAAGCCATATTTTATTCAGAAACTCTGTGCACAGAGTTTGTGCACAGAGTTTCTGTATATGTCTTTTTGCTTACACTTATCCGTGGCTTATGAAGAGTTTAACTGTAAATCAAAAGACTCCAGTCTTCCATTCAGAGAATTTAAGAACCTTAAAAATAAGTAACATTTTAACATAGGGATGGGCAATTATTTGGGCCTGAGGGCCAATAGGGAGTTTTGATGAGCTATTTTGGGTGGGGTCAGCATCCTGCAGGGCTGGCAGAGTGGGTGGGAGGCAGCTGGGAGCTGGAGCCCCACACACAAAGGCAACTGCTGCCTGGCTGAAGCTGCCCCACTTGGAGTGGTTCAGCAAGGGCAGGAGGAGGAGCACAGCTAAAGGCATGGGTGACTGGTGCCACCTTAGTCAGGGAGAGGCACATGCCCCCCCAGTGACCAGTCAGTGACTGGGGGAGGTCCTCCCATGGCCAGTCTCACTGACCGGCACCCCAGTGCACCCCCTATGCATCACCACTGGCTAAAGGCAAGGTGAACAGAAAGCTGTGCCTGGCCAGCACATGCAGCTTCCAGCAGGGCTGTTCTTAATGCTGCTGCAGCTGGCTGGATGATGTTCTGCTCCCCTTGCCTCAAGCAGTGGCTCTTCCTCCCGCTCTTGCCCTGCTGTGCTGCTCTGGGCAGGTGGGGAGGGGGGAGCTTTATCCAGATAGTTCCTGCTGGAGGTAAGAGGAGCAAAGCAGCACCAGGAGCAGCCCACTAGAAGCTGCTTGTGCTAGTCAGGGCCCAGACTGAAGCATGGCATGGGCTGCTCCAGTAGGAGCAGGTGGGGCTTAGCCCCATATGGATGGCCAAATGGGCAGCCACAGGACAGATCCTGTCAGTTTGTGAGCTGGATTTTGCCCACCCCTGTTTTAACACCTAAACCATCTCAAAATTACATGTAATTCTTCTCATTCTATATTTTTTTCCTGTTGGGGTTCATTGTGTAGAGCAAACATGAAATGTGCTGCAGTTCATACACGAAATGCACCCTGGTTCTGTCCCATGGAAACTAAAACTATTGTCATAATTTTAACTGTTTTGAAGCTATCATTGTACAGTTTAATTTCCTCTACAATTGCCTTCTGTAATGATCTCCAAATTCCATCATCTCAAAATTTCATCCATAGATTTCACAGACATTAGGGCTGGAAGGGACCTTGAAAATCATCAAGTCCAGCCCCCTGCCCCAGGGAGAGGAAGTCTGCTAGGGTCAAAGGACCCCAGCAAGATAAGCATGCAAGCCTTTCTTGAATAAGATCAGAGTAGGTGCCTGCACTACCTCTGGAGGGAGTATATTCCAGGTCTTGGGGGCTAGGACAGTAAAGAATTTTTTCTTATGTCCAGCCTAAAATGGTCTTGTAGGAGTTTATGACCATTGGTCCAATCCATCACATTATTTCTTACAGAAAAAAAAGACAAAGTTATAATATTTTTAGCTCTGGTTCTATCCACTGTGGTTGCATCTACACAAGCCATTTACTGCGCAGTATGCTAATTAGCTGCACAGTAAATAGTGTGCATCTACATGTGCTCCCCAATTAGGTTGGAAATATACTAATTAACTTAGCAGCAGGATAGTACTTGTATTTGAGAGTACTATCCTGCTGCAGAGTTAATTAGTAAAAACTTCTGCAGCAGCATACGTGTAGATGCTGTCCCAGCTGGCGGGGGCATGAGGGTGCTTCAGTGCAGGGGCTGTCTACTGGCTAGCCCCACACCGAAGCACTCTTGTGCTTGAGCCATCCCCTCCACAGTACGTTGAGCTGGGATGGAGGAGCAGCCCTGGGCTGGCAGGCTGACCCCCCATGCCCTCTGCTACCTGGGGCTACTCCAGTCTGGCTCAACATGCTGTGGTCCTGGGCATATATGCAAATTACATGCCTGGAGCAATAAACGCGGGAGCAGTAAGCACTGGTGTTTATTACTTTGCATTAATATGAATGTGTAGATGTGCCCTGTATGATGGAAATAAGGTGGATATATAGGTATTAAGCAGTTTAACTCAAAGTGAATTATGATTGCTTCAGTGATATAACACTGTGGCATAATATTTTGCAAAATAAAAGGTTTTCTTGATCTATGAGAGGCACAAAGTACATATATATATATATAT